CCAATTTATAACCACTCCAACATTTGTCCACCATATCTCATTTTCTTCGCAATATCAGGTATCTACCAAGGCGCTTAAGTAGTTTACATCGATAAATGTGGAACTTTTCATTTCTGCTGCTTGACTTTAAAAGTCTCTCACCATCTCATATACTTTTGCAGAAAATACCACATCGCCTCTCCCTGATGTTCTAAACTCTACTTCAGCGTCATGCATTCTTTCGCGTCCCTCGGTACAAACCCACCTATCTGCTGAGCTGCGTGGGTGGAGTGTCAAAAAGCGTACACTTCTTGTTACTTGTTTGCTAATAGCTGACATGGATGAGATTACACACCTAAAATGATTTAGTCACCAGGCAAAGGAAGAGAGGTTCATGTGAATTTCATTTTAACTATTGGAAGAAGGAGAAAGGAAAAAGAGAGCCGTATCTTAAAGACGCATATTTAGGCATTCATTTGAACGAAGTTGGGAAATTTCAAAAGACGAGGGACAGATAACATCCTTCAATGATTACTAGCTTGTTAAATACTTTTATTTGATGAATTAATACGAAATAATGCATTTCTTTCCTTCCTAAGTGGACTTATGGACAACTTAATTACATTCATTTACGTTTCTTATGTGATTTAAAGCTGCATATTTTAAACCAACAGGTAGACAATTTCAAAATGGCTTAAACTTTACCCTACACTGTAATGCTTTAATTGCTTGTTTAACTCTCGAGTTTTGGTTGCATGGGCACTTAGGACTGCACCATTGAACTTCCACTGGGAAGCACGGCCTCCGGGCCAGGCGTTTTACCTCGTAGCACTTCTATACGTCGACTGCACATAGTCTGCTCCTACATCATCGCTTGTAGTGTCTCTAGGACAGACTTGGGGCCCTGCAACGCATCTAATGAAATTTTCTTTATTAACCATTGTAATGGTTTCACTATTCATTCATTTATTTGACTGAAATGTGTCAGGCACGCCGGTTCCTAATGGAAGCATTGCCAGAGTCAATGCTTCTGTTTTAAGAAGTCACCTCAGGGATTACCATATTCCAGCGATCCTTATAGTGAGCATGAAAACCGGGTTTATGAGGCAAGTCACTTTATGTTTTGGTGATTCACAGACTCCCACAGTCCCATAACTTAGCGAGATGATCCATCAGCCTCAAGTAAAAGTAATCCCATCTGGTAGATGACATTTCTCTTCTTAACAGTCTTTTAACCATCAGAATAGGCGTGGAACGTAAATTGAATATGCCCGAAGGCCATACCGTCCAAGAGAAGCTTAATGGAGGTGATCTCAGTCCCCGCTTAACTAAAACGAAAAGTTAGGAATTAAAAAGCATAACAAGTCCTCCCCCTGCTTTTAAGTGGCGTCCTTGTCGATTGCCTTGGGTAACCTTCCGCGTTGGCCTTCGCAATGCAGTAGATGCTATGAGAAAAACATCCACGAACCAACTGCATCAGTTGTCAATTCAAATGCATCAGAGAAGATATCTTACTACATAGTCGTTTATCTTACTTGGCCATTCTGGTAGATTCAAAATTTTGGCCTGTTTGGCAGCAGCATTGGCGAAGGGGAAATGTGCCCGCCCTCTCATATCTTTATTGCCTGTCCTACTATCACTGTCCAAAAAGGCGAGACATTCAGTACGGAAGAAGTTAACAATAGTTTCATGGAAATAAAGTTCCGCATCCATTTCTCCTTGTCATTTTCTTCTCACTTTGGTGCTGTCCAGCCACATCTATCTATCTGGATTCTAATCAGCTAATAGAGAAGTGAAGGAGGTATCGCGCGTTCACCTAGTGTACAACTTCACACGGGCACCGTAGACAGCAAACTTTCTTAGATGGTCCATGACCATGGCTAGTACTATTTCAGTCGTTAATCGCATTCCTGCAGAAGGCGAGACTTGGGTTGTTTCCCAAGGTAGATGGCATTTTGAGCCCCTCTGTTATGGGTCGTCATTGATTCTCCCATTTGCAGCATACACCCTTCTTCCCCCAAGTTAGGATTTAGCATTCGGTAAAAGAGGTCAAGGCAGTCGTCCCTTAGGATCGGGTTCGCCTTCTGCTGGGACCAATGTAGTGCATAACACTGGAATATAAATTGATTTGCCGACTTACAGAAGTGCTAAGAGGACACTAGCATGCCCCTGAGGCCAAGCAGCCGAGCGAAAGTAAAATAGCGGAGCCTTAAGTGCCCGCGTAACCGAAACCGAAATTTAGCAAATAAACGCGTTATTTTCCTTCCAATCACTCAGTCATCTAGCCCTATAGGTGAGATTTTGGATACTACTGAAGGCGAGACATCATATTTAATTGCCTAAACATACACGAACAACTGATGGGGCACAGATATCATTCGGATGCATTTCAGTTTTTCAAATGCTATCCCCTTCTGCAGTTAGGCAGTGGGTCCCTTTTTTTCAATACAAACTAATGACGAAATTAACATCTTTTACTAACCCCAGTGGCATTTATGACAATTATGGTGAGCCCTTTTGGGGGAAGGATTGAAATAAAGAGCTGGTGTACAGTTTTTTTAAAGGAGGTTAGTTAATTAACTCTACTTTATTTACAAACTTTGTTTCTACAATTAATGCTTATGACCGCATAAATGACGGGATAAGAAATTGACCTTCGGTGGTAACTGCCAAAATAAATGCACTAGATTTTTACTTGTTGCTTCATACAACCAATTTCGTTTAATAGCGCTTGTTTTACTTGTCCCAAACCGAGTAATCTGCACGTACGGACAGACAGAGAGGCGAACAGGACACACAAATAAAAAGGTAGACAGGCAGCCATACTAGATGACCAACAAGGATAGAATTTTCGGTACAGCTCACTGCAACAGCATACTTCAATATGTGAGGACGTAAAATGCATGTAATTGTTAATGTCCGTGTATTAAAAAAAGTGGATAGGTCTCAATCTCGCAGCGCACTACCCTTTAGTGAGTTCTTTACCACCTTCAACCTGTTTTGAACCCGCCACTTCAAAGCATTTCTTGAAAGTGGTGAGTCTTATTCAATCTTATCCGTTTTACGGATGGAATTTGATGCTTCTGCCGATCCGTCAACTTTGTTGTATGGGATTTGATTAAGCAGAATTATGAAGCAGTCGAATGCATCGCTCAGATTTGATTAAAGCTTCTTTCTATTGCACCGATGAATCACTACCCAAACCACCACTTTCAGGAAGATTGGTCACGAGTATTCGCAACTAAGGCGACTGGGGATGAAAGAGGAGCTTTTATCCCTGCTTAACGCGAACGGTTTACTTCTAACTGGTTTGTATCTAAATTAATCTAGAAAATCAAGTTACCGTTGATCCAATTTGCACATCTTTGCTACTTGATATCCTTTGGCAATTATTTTATGTAACTATTTAGAATACGTTTTGGACGATGATCATGCTGTTTAGCAAAACCGAGCAGTACATCGTCAAATTCGACACAAGAAATGTCAGCCATATAAATCAATGAAGACATACTGAAACGGTGAGGGATGAAACGGACGGACCTTGCAGAGAGCCTGCGGCATGGGGAGCCATACGTATCGGCTTTGCCACCTCTTGAGACAGCCAATCGGGGCGCTTGAGATTGGTGAATGACCGGTTGTGGTAAAGCGATATGATACAGACGCACGTACGAGCTGACAGGGTCAGTGACCGTGGTTTGTGCTGGTGTGAGGACTACCAATGGTCCAAGCACACAGTTGGCCGAATGCTCCTCTCCACAAAAACCATTTCCTCAGAGGAATAGAGTCTACTTACTTTTGTGGCTCAGCCTCTCTGTTTTAGCCTGACTCAACACCTGAACGGCAGTACAGAATTAGTTTCTGGTAATGAGACCACTTTTATTAGTTACCACACCATCACGTTCAATCCAGGTAACAGACCAAACAAGATTTCACTCGTCACATGACAAGATGACACTGCCTTAGCGTTAAATATAGCTAAGGTAGTGCAAATGCAAAATTCCACTGTTATATCTACGCAGTGAGGTGTAACTGTAGGGCAAGGAACTAGACGCCCTCCACTAATTCCGTTCAATGGTACCAGGAGTCGAGTGATTTCCACGGACATCATTATTGTATTCTTTGTTTTCATGGTGCTGGTGGTTTCGAAAATCGTCAGAACATTGAGCCATTTGTCTTTTTTACAAGTAGTATCTGTGAGTGATGGCGGCACAATTTCCTATGCAACACCAGAAACTAAATTACTTGTAAGGTAGTTCCTGGCCTATTTAGTTTTCAGCAAAAATCCCCTCTTTATTAGTTATGTTCTCAAATTGTTCCCAAGATTTCCTTTTTCAAAAAAAATTTAAAGAATTCTCATTTCACTGAAAGCTGAAAATGCAATCATGCTATGACTTAATCACATTGTAAGGGCTTTGTCTTTCTAGAAAGCCAACCTAGAACAAAGGAAAAACGTGAAGGCCTAATCGGAAAGGGTACTTAAACGGAACACCGTAAGGAAAATCTTTAAGCCCGATTCTGGAAACGATCTGTGAATTCGACCTCATAGCTGGATGATTGACAATGAGATCTGCAATTTGGTTCGGTCATTCCTCCTTGATTATCGCTGTTTCGCGTCTCCTCACCAGCACTTGTAACTGTTCCAGGGCGGTATTTTAGATAGTGGTCGTGCTTCTTCATATTACATGTCGCTATCTCGCTTTTCTGCGAAAGTTATTAGCATAACAAAGAGTAATGGTCCACCTGAGAATCACTTTTACCATACATCATTAAGTTTCGTTGATCGCATGCTATGTGACAAGCGTTGTGTTCACTGAAATCGCACTGACCTCTATCAATCATATCAAAACTAAAGACGATGCAAAAAGACTTTGCCGCGAAATCACGGTAGAAACATCACATTCAAGGCCAAAAACTAGGACAAAATTCAACCAACTGGTTATGTAAGTAGCATTGCCACCTGGAAGTAGGGCATGACCCCGCATCGATTCCCTTCACATGTCCCTGCACGTGTGGCCGAGGTCATGCTGGGGGAAGGGAGACCCGTGTCCCTTTTGTCAGGCGACCCCATATTCAAACCCATCCACCAACGCCCAGTCAAATTAACGCTAGATTTACCGGCATTTACCGCTCCACGAACTCTCTCCACATGTAAGCGTCGAAAACGCGTTTCTCCACAAATTTTCGTTCGTGATGTCATCAAGAATGCCGACGTATCTGACGTGTTCCGCCAATCCACCTGTGATGAAGTAACCGCAAAAAATAAGAATGCCATACATAGAGTCATCAAAAAGGTTCTTGGAGCCCCTAGTGTTTATTTTGATAAAACTGAATTGAGCATTATCTTACATATGTATCTTCAATTAACGGGCCTAAAAATGCGTGAAATTTCAAATGAGGAGATGAAGGGCTTCTTGTACAGTACTCTGGGAATTACCAACTTATTTTCGTTAGATGGTATATGTAGAGCATCAACAAAAATGAACAATGGCCCACTATCAACGACCAAACGATACATTTCTCCTTCCGCTTTCGTCCGTACACTTTCTATCATGCTAAGAGGAACAATAGACGATAGAGCGGAATTGGCCTTTTATGCGATGGACATAGATTCGGATGGATTTTTGAGAAAGACAGTGGAGATAAGACGGCTATTGCAGGATTCTTTTGATACATCAATCTCTGCCCAGAATGCGGAGATTGATCCCGACGAACCGGCAAGGGATACAGCTAACTTTTTATGTGAAAAATTGAACTGCACCATCACCTCACATGTGTCGGTGCAGGAATTCCGGGAGAAGTGTCAACGACATCCCTGGATTGTGGAATGTCTCCTCCCGTGCATACCCGCGGAGAGAGTGAACTACATTTTTCAAAGTCTATTCACAACCGGTGTCAACATTCCGTCAATTGAGAGTGCGGTCGAGCCTACACGACCGACGATAAAGTGCGTTTCCGGCAGGAAGAGTACATACTCAGTAATAAAATGAGTTTTCCTGGAATATTCATATGTGACAAATGAATAAACGTTACGAAATATTCCGCATATTTTTTTCCTGTCTGACGATGTCAGGTGTAAAATGGTCTAAAATCATATTTAAATAAGCATTTCCCTGTAGCTGCGTATATATGGACATTTGGACCACAAATAAAAGAAGTGCAGAGGCACCTTGAGGCTCACCACCACAATTCTTTCACTAAAGTCTTAATTGAGCAGCTAGGTAAGGCGATTCCGCTATATAGATAATTTTAATGATTTAGTATTAATAATAGCCCTACTTCTGTGCATGCACTTGATCGCGTCTTTTTAATAAAACCGGTGCGGCTAACGTCATCCACTTTGAACAGGTTTCATCAAACAGTGGATGGATTGATACCACTAGTCCGCTGTTGTAGTTTATTTAGGAAAAATTGCAATCTCACCTTTGCCACTTTTAAAAGGGAAGGTGTTCAAGCACTCAATCATTAATGCTTTTGTTTAACAAGAACTAAAGTGGTACTTAGATCTGTCATTAGACCAGTACAAATATTCATTAACCATAATGAAATACATAATGGTTTTGTCTGAAAATATGCTAAATAACGGCCAGGAAATATCATGTGCTAAAATAAAGGAAGAGTATTCTTCGCAGTAGACCATGGGTCAAGAGAACAAAATGGCTGGGTCAAATACCGCTCCAAATAAAGGCCTTAGAAAGGCCTCCAGAGGGTGTACTTCCCCTCTGTGGCGTGGCCTCCGAGCCATACCAGTAACCTCCCAACTCTTCTGGCTTGTAACAACCTTGGAGAATACTTGAGGCGTAATACTTAGGGCAATGACGGGGAAACTGCATTTAAAAGGATAACTATATTGTCTTCTATGGTTGAATGCTAAACTTTAATATTAAAGGAGGAGGAAGTCTGCCAAGAATAAGTGAACCTACGAAGATTCCATTCTTATGTTCTGCGAGAAGGCCAGTAAACATTGGGGCACCTGCATTATGGTGTTAACTACATGAACAAGCGACACCGAATGTAACCGAAATGCATAAGTGAACAGCACTAAAATGAAAACACGAGAATATGTATGAAGTGCTAGTCCTACAAAACCATTTTGAAGCTCGTAGTCTATACAAGAGCACTGCTGTAAGGCCAATTTATTACGACCATTATTTGTTATACCGTATCCCCTTGTCGAAGACCATTGTCCAATCTTGAGTTGTATGAAGTTAGTACATATCCCTTCCCAAGTACAGCTTAAAAATAAAACATAACTTTAAATATGGCACGACTACCGATATCCACCAGCAATGCAGGGATCAAATGCCGCTCTCTATGACTGGCATTGACTGTTGGAGGGTGATCTTTAGGGCACCGACTGCGTTAGGATGACCGACACTTGAGATTTACTAAGGGGATCGATGGAGACGATGCCCAATTAGAGGGAAGGAATATGTAGTACTGTGACGTTTGGTTTAATTGTACTTGACCACGTAGGTACAGGAGACCACAGGTTCTCCTTCAGCTTTGCGCTAGGAATTTCATTCTATGCTTATAACATCCTATACTACACGTTAGTAGTATGTGCTCCGCCATCTTAGTTTGGCTTATCATGACTTTAAACTGACTTGAAGTGTTACAATAAGATGTATTTTAAGGGAAATACACGTTTTAAACTTAAAATTAAATTGCTATGACGTTGATTTGTGCATGAGATAGAAAAAACTACAATGTAGAATTGTCATACCCATAATCTGGCCTGAAGATTGCCAGATTACCATTGTAACAGCTCAGGGTAACAGTAGCGTTTTGGACACAATATATGTAGGAAATATGTTTCTTTTTAGTAAACTCCAACCCACTTTGCAAGCGTGTTTGGTAAGAAGCCTTTCGCCTTTACTTTTACTCTACATGATTTGATGAAAGTTTAGTGGTGCCCCTGTATAACATTACCAAAAACCAATTTTCAGCTATGACAACTTTACTGTTTCGGTTGTTTTCCTTTTTTGAACTTCGGCGGTTGAAACAAAAACACACCAGGTCGACTTGTGCCTCCACGTGCATAGTGATGGTGAAAAGCTGTCGAAGTAAGGTCCCCTTGTACTGATTTTCGTAGAGGTCAAGAGCAAGCGTATTACGTGTCATAAGAGATACAAAATCCTGAGGAAAGTTCGTGAGCATCATCGCAAAGTTAGAAAAGAGAGGAAGAAGAATCCAAAGCTTTTTAAAAGTAACCTCAATAGCTACATTTACTGGTACAGGAAAGGACCCTGGTATCCCAAATTCACTACCTTTTAAGGAGCAAATATTGGAACACATTAAGGAAACCAAGAAGGTACGAAAACTTTATGGCATCTATCATGTAATAGCTCGAGTCGGAGAGGCGGTTAGCTTTATTGCAGCATGCTAAGAAACTTGAGAGCAGTACAGAAAAGCCAAAGAAAAAAGTTGTCAATGTCAGCTTTTCTAAACAATTCGCTCATGTAATCAATAAGGCTGACGTTGTTATAGAGGTTTTGGATGCTCGGGATCCACTTGGTACTAGAAGTATTGACGCAGAAAACGAAGTTTTGGCTGCTGGGAAAAAACTAGTTTTACTTTTAAACAAGATTGGTACGACCGCTTCCTGATAACCTAATATAATGAGATCTTGTTCCCCGTGGAGTTGTGCAGCAGTGGTTAAACTACTTCCGTAAGTGGTACACGATTATGCCTTTCAAGTCGAATACGCAAGAAAAGTCCAACAGATTGGGGAACATTAAAGGCAAAATACCTCGAAATACGAATCCTACTGTGAAAAGGTACTGGTATTTCCTTATCTCTACTTTTTATTTAGCGGTTTGGGAGTGGACGGTTTGATGGTTCTGTTGGGAAACATATGTCGTCATAACGGCGGCAATCTAACTGTCGGCCTTGTGGGATTACCCAATACTGGGAAGAGTGCAGTTATTAATACCCTTGTTTGTCGCAAAGTTGCCCATAGCAGTTGCGTCCCCGGTCTTACGAAACAATGCCAGCTGTACAAAATTGATAATAAGATAAATCTGATCGACTCACCAGGAATTGTACTGTCCAAACGGGAAGACCCCTGCGAACTGGTTCTTCGGAATTGTAAAAAGGTGTGTGGGCCGGTTTTTTTGCAGAAACATTACTTCATTATACGCATATGATGACACCAATATCAGATTTGAAGCTTGTATCATCTCCTACTTATATTTGTAGCCGGAGAGTGTTGAAGCACCAGAAACTGCTGTCTCAGCCATCTTGGCCTGGTGTCCTAAGCGTCAGATCATGGTGCATTACTCCATTGGCGAATATGACAGCACCACCGATTTCCTTTGTAAATTAGCGCATCGGCTGGGTCGGTTACGGAAAGGTGGCGTTCCCGATATTAAGGGTTCTGCGCGTGCACTTTTGTCAGATTGGATTACGTGAGTTCTTTCCCATTTTGTTATAAGTCCCTTCCAAGACGTGTTCCGTATTTTGAACGGTTAAACTCTCCTTTGTAAACATTTTCGGTTCTAGTTCTTCATGTTACTTGGTTGAACATGCATAGATTTTAAAATTGCAACGTGAACTACTACTATCTGCGTCCTGCTGGTCTACTTTTTATCCTGTCCATAGCATTTTCCAAATATCTGACTTTTTAAATACACACGTTTTATAATATTAATTCAACGGGATTCAACTTCCTTGTTGAACTCGCATTTGTGAGATGGAACAACTAGTTCATCACTGAATTAGGAAAAATTTTGGCAGTTAGCGGGATTCGCCTCGGGGCATGTGGTTGAATAATTCTTCTTCCTTCACTTTGTGTCATGTCTGTTTTTTGAACCTATTTTCTGCATTTTAAGCTGTAATTTTTCCAAATCCAGCCCTTATATTGTTTCTTATTTCTTAGGGGGAAATTGGCGCACCATACACTCCCACCAGAAAGTGCTGCTCCGATAGCCGAGCCATCGAAACCGGCTATTATTGCCATTGATGAAACTGATTTCCCGCTTCAAGAATTTGATGACAATGTTTTAAAAAGTTAGTTTTTCCAATTGTTGAATAGTTGTTGACTAATTCATTAGGTTCCTACTCACCTTCACGTCTTTTTAGCTGAAAAATACTGAACTTCGATATATTATTTTCTTTTAGCTTAAGTGATTTTAGTTTTTGCAGTGATGTTGAGTGGATATGCAGTTGCCCTGGTGAGCACTTTGGATATCCTGTATTATGCAGTCTGTGTCCTTCATAGGGCTTCCAAAAGCCAATGCGTACAACGATTTCTGCCCAGTGGCTGTTGTAAGTCCCTCTACGCCCTTCCGAGTGGACTTTGGTGGTAGTTGGAGAGATACGGAGGATATCTTGATATCTAAAGGGTACGAAGCGAATACTGATGCTGGTGATGATGACGCCGACGATAATGAGTACGCATCGGCAGATGAAGGTGTTGATTTAACAGAAAAGGGCAATGAAGTCATGGATGCTGAATAGACAGAAATTGTTTATGAACTACTGTATGTACTTTCCCTCTTATTGTTTGTAAATGGAGTGTCTACGCAGTAAGGATTCGTGATTCTGCTCACTTTATTTACCTTAAAAACATTTATTCACGAGAATACACGTGGACCCATGGGATTTTGTAGGTGGGTAGGGAAAATTGGTCCCATCTCAACAACCTTGCACTGGTATTCCTTATTCTTTGATGGATTGCGTAATGTTGGTAAGGCTAGGAGTAGCTGGGCAGTTTGTTTAACCACCACTGGGTTGGGTTGTGGGGAATTTGGACACAGGACTCTTCTCTGGCTTGGGGGATGTTGACCGCTCCTCAGTCATGAGGTTCGACTCGACTGCCAGCTTCTTCTATGAAAGGTCCATTGAAACAATACAAGTATTACATAGTCCCCTCGTCCTTTCAACACAATCCCCGGTGCTAATACTTATGAGTTGGCTTCTAATTCGCCATCCGGTGGTTTCCTGTCTTCATATCCAACCGGTGGTTTCCCTTTGTAGGGTCGCATCTTGCTGTGGTGAACGGTCACCGGGTGGGTACGCAGTTGTGCGTCGCGAACGAGGTGGTTTGCAGGTGAGAGCGCTTTCACCACTCGAAATGTGTCCTTCTCCATGGATGGTGAAACTTGCGGTGTATTTCGGGTGGGGGAATTGGTCTGTAAATTTACAACAAGTCTCCTACTGGGTAGACGTTCGTCCATCTGTGTCGGTCGTAATATTCCTTCTGCCTGATATGGAACAGTCGTAAATGTTTACGTGCGATGTTAAAAGTTTATCTTACGCCTTCTTTCAGACATAGTATGTATATGGCAAGAAGACATCCGAAGGCACTCTCATTTCACGACCTGTGAACATCTTGCATGGAGAAACGCCAGTTGACGTATGGACTGTAGCCCTGTACGCGTAAAGGACACGCCCTAGGCTTAAATTCCAGTCATCTGGTTGTGGGTCTTTAGTAGAGGCCTTTGGTAGTCCTATCAGTGCGATTCGCTCTTTCCGCCTATCCATTGCCCTGCGGATGTCAAGATGTCGTACCTGTCTTTGAAATTCGGAATGTCTTACATAGTTCAGTGAAGAGTCGGCTCTCGAAGTTAAGGCCTTGATCGCCATGAACGGATTCAGGCACTCCATGCTGGCAAATCCACCAATTGAAGAAAACTGAAGCAACCATTCCAGCGTTTTGTGACTTCATGGGTTCTGTCTCGGCTACTTTTGCGAAGTAGTTTACCATAACCAAAATATTATCGGTTTCCTCTCTTGGTGGGCGGCAGAGGACCCATAATGTCTATTCCTACTCTTCCCCCTGGAAAACCGGTGGGCATGGGTTGCAGAGGTGCGATGGCTGTGGGTTGAGGCCTATTGAAACCGCTGCAAGTAGTGCAGGTTCGGCAGAAATCCCGCACATCTAGGGTGAGCGAAGGCCACCAGTATCTTTTGCTCCCGCCATCTAACATCTTCTATTCACCCACGTGGCTGAGTTGCCCGTGCAATCTTTGGAGAACTGTTTGCACTAATGAGCCAGCGACCACTAGGCACTTAGGAGATTCAATATCTTCTTGGCACCATAAAATCTCATCCTCCAGAGAGGGTTTTGACCATTCTTGCTAGATCCGTCTGGTCGCCTTGCTAGATGACGTCATCTCTTCCGCTGTAGGCTTATACAAGGATGTCAGGAACCTCTCGTATGTCGGAGTCGTGTCAGGATCAGTACTCTGCGTATTTCTCCAATGGTTTTTGGTAGGGGCCCTCAAAAATATGGTGCGCACTACAACGTCACCTGTTTCTGCTGCCGTCGGTCTGCGGAATAGTTTACCGCATTACCATGCTCCTTTCCCTTTCGGTATTGAACTGTAAAATCATATTACTGCAGTTCTTCATCCCAGCCTGCAAATGAGCGGTGGTACTTATTGTTTTTAACAGTGAGTGCCTAATGATCTGTTCTGACTGATCGCTCTCGCTATCAAGTAGTGTCCGAAGTGTCTAATCATTGTGTAGATAGCGAACAGCTCACTTTGTGTCGCACTTTTCTCTCATTTTTTTCACTGAGTCTAGTACTCGGGTAGACGGTGATGTGTTCCCATTCCTTTTTTATACCTTTGCCAGAGTACACCGCCCAGGTCTGCGTCGCTTGCGTCTGTATCCAGTACAAGTGGTAAGGCGCTCGATTTGAAGTTTGGTAAGGCTAGAATCGGTGCAGCGAAGCGTATTTTCCTCAGTTCCTTAAACGCCCACTTGAAATTCTTCGCCTGCTTTTCGGTCAATTTATGCAGCAGACTGACGATCTTAGCTAAACCTTTATCAAATCGCCTGTAGTAATTTGTCAAACCTGAGAAACTGCGGACATCCGTCTGGTTGGTGTTGTCCACGTCTATACTTGCTTTTGTTGGCCTCCGTTGACTGCCATCCCATCTGACGAGCCGGTATCTCCCGGGAAGGTGACCGATCATGGCAGAAAACGGCATTTATTTGAGTTCAGGGTAAACTCTGCATTCTGCAGACGGTCCAGCATCAGTCCCAGGTTGGCGTTATGCTCTCTACCGAAGACGAGAACATCATTACGATGTATAATACAATGCATTGGGAAAAAAGCCGATTAGTTTTGTCCGCATCAGGCGCTGGAAGGTGGCCGTTGCGTTACAGAGTCCAAAGGGCATTGTCTGAAACTCATAAAGTCCGTTTGGCAATATGAATGCTTCTTCTCTCTATCTGCGTCCGCCACTTCCACTTGCCATTATCTTTACTTCAAGTCTGGGGTGGAGAACCACTTCGATTTATGTAAGGAGTCCAGTGAGTCATTTATGTGGGGTAAGTGGAGCGCATCGCTCTGAGTTACGGTGTTCAACTTCCTATAGTCGATGCATAACAGTAGACTACCATCGTTCTTCTTTACCAGTGAGCTCGGAGGGTCCCATAGTGAATTAGACGGCTTTATAAACTCATTTCGATCATCCCTTTAATCAGACGGTTTACTTCCCCTAGCAGAGGAGGTGGAATACGTCTGGGTGGCTGCCAGATGGGTCCAGCTTCGCTGTCATTTGGTCGTCCCAGTTTAGCACCTTGCCATGCGAAGATGTTCTCATACTTAATCAAGTGCTTACGAAGTTCTTTCCTCTCGTCATCGAAAATGTGGATCAGCTGCTCACAAAGGTCATCTAAATTGTTAATAGGAACGGATGCAGCTTGGAAAAGGGTGTTGCAGATGTTGTCTGCTCCTTCTTTCGGTAGTGAAACAGCTACGTTGGCTTCAGTGCCTAGCTGAGTGGAAAAGGTGCCTTCCACCAAATCTAGGATAGATTTGACGTTACGTAGCAAAACAGCACTAAATGCCACGTCTCAGGCCAGTTCTGGATGTGTAATAAACTTCACTGTCCAGGTCTCCTTCCCTATAGAGACTCTTAACGGAGTCTTCCTTTAAGTATTATCTCGTTTTCTTCTGCTGAACGCAATTTCGTAGAAAAGGAAAGGATCTTATTCGTTACAAAGAGTAGGGAAAGCCTGGTGGTTTACTTTTTATCTAGCTACGCCTGATTCAAGAAGAAAACTACAGGGACGTCCTTTAAGTTTACATTGAGCCCGCGCGTATGACTGAGAGCCATTTGGAGGTAGGCAGGGAAGAGGAAAGTAAGGCTCTCCTGGTCTTAGGGTATGACACGGAGAAACGTGATGCAATGGTGATGAGTTTGGTTAGTTGTAGGCTTCTGGTAGATCGAGATCGTTTAGATATCCTGTCTCTTCTTGGTTGTGAGCTTGACCAGTCGGCTAAGCGAGTTGGTCTTTATATCGCGGATCCTCTCGACCCTAATGGAGGGTCGGACCCCGTGTCCAACTGGATCGTTATCCCTTTAGAGACATTGCTTGGAGGACAGCCTCTAAAGGCACGTGCTGCTAGATGTTGGAGGTTCCTAAAGTACTCCTATTCGTCCTCGTCAGCTTTTTGGAAGAGACGGAAGAAGACTTTGGTGAGGAACTGCTCTTCCCAATCGATGATAAGTTGAGTCAACGTGACGCAGCATTGGCCAATGTCCGTATCTTGGGTGATACCGGCGTCGATTGCTGTCGAAATCTTGTATCCATACCCATTTACCCTAAGAAATAGATAGGACAAATTTTAATCAGCCCCAGCGTTCTAAGGGTATGAAGGTTGGGTGAGAAGAGATTAATGAGGCCTTAGCTACACTAACGACAGCGCCAGAGGACCTTCCAAAAACGACATGAACTTCGAAGAGTGACTCTAAACCACAAAACTCAACCTCTACCTCTAATCCACTGCTACCACCATTGTAGCACAGGCCTTGTCTATCTCCTCTTTCCTGGCCTTCATACCCCCAAAACACTAAGACTAATTGGATTCTGACATATTTGCTACTTAGAGTAAGTGAATACAAGCGTAAAAAGATTTGGAAACGGGACTCTGCTCTAACTTAGGAGATGTTGACCGCTCCCTAGTCACGAGGTTAGATTCTAGTGCCCTCCTCCTCTCGAAAAGGAAGATTTAGAAGATATAAGTACTACAATATAGCTTATTAAGGCTTGAGAGGAGAATAAAGGCATTATAGGGTCCTGCAGAGGGGTGATGGCATGAAAAGTTCAGTATTGCCGTGCTCAGATAAGCTTTTTGTCAATGAAATTAAAATTTGTCAAGGGTTAGTCGTGCTCACGAAAATACCTGAGAGTGTAACATAAGTTCATGGTCGTAAGGGGATGTATAAGCTAGGCAGCTTCAACGAAAATGATAATATTATTTCAGGGGACGTAATCCAAATAAGTCTCCTCTGATTTGAAGGAAAGGATTTAAGAGGCGGCAGTTTCTCGAAACCAAGGCAATAGTTACGCAACTAATAAGAAGAAGATGAAAAATATAAGGATAAAGTCCGGTGAATTTACGGTATTTTGAAGATTTTATGCTTTATTTTGGTTTTCGCAATAAGTGCTTCCACCAATATAAGGAGAAATCTCACTTACCTTACACCTCAGCTAAAATTAAAAACGCAAATATGGTAAAACACAATAGATTCCAACTTCTTAAGCATTCGATTTTCCGTTTTCTCAGAATTTGGCAATTGTTTATCTCTTCCAATTGATAGCCTGAATATGCAAATCTGATCAGCTGTTTTTGATTGGTGTGTTCTGCGCTTTGTCCTGTTCCCGTCGAGATGGACCCCCCTGAAGATAAAGAAAATGAAAATGAGGAGTCAGCTCCTGAGAATTCTCAGCTGGGTGATCCATTCGACAAGGAGCCACATCTCAAAACACCAGAACGATACGTCATTCCCGGTAAGTCCTTATTACCACATCTCAACATAAAATTTTTATTAAAATTAATATCTATTTATGCCTCTTAGTTGAGCATTATGAAATAATGTAAAGTGGTTTTGAAGACTTTTTACATGTTGCTTTTATCATGATGATGACATTTAAGTTTCTAATGTTGTAAATAAGTAGCATGCCACAAGCATTTTTTCCTCTTCTTTGACTCCCACTTTACCTTGTCCGGGCCTAAGTAGTGCTGGCAGTAGCTTGCTTTGGCACATTCACCATTCGTTGCTTCTCATCCTATTTATAAAGCGATTTATGCTCTGGTTATGATTTTTACAATTTCTTTGGGGAAAGCTAATTTCTTCAGAAGGTCAATCTTTCTTCATTTTCAATGAATTTCACTCCAATTAAGTTGTACTTTGGGCATGTGAAACCGCCTCTTTTGCGCATCTTGCTGTAATATGTTATGAATGAAATAATCTAGTACTTTTTTTCCTACAGGTTATGACACTTTAAACGCCAAAGAGCTTCCTGAAAATTGGGTTAAGCTGCTACACGATTCTGGTTTAACAATGTATTTTAATCCAATAACTGGAGTTGCTACCCTCTCTCGTCCTTTCATCGTCACCCCAGAGAGCGTAAAAAGTACCACCATCCCGATTTTTGCCATTCCTTGTTTGAATTACCGGTACAGTAAATTTGCTCCCAAAGAACCCTTGAATTCTAAGGTTAGTTAGCTGGCTGGAGTACTTTCCTCTGACTGTACGTTTAAGGTCTTGTGTTCAGGTTTCAGATGCCGACAAATCAAGGGTAGATAGTGATACACAACAGCAAGATAGTTCCAATTGCGAAGCAAAAAAGACCCTTGAATGTCCTATTAGAAGCGTTGAGGGCGGTGGTGATTGTGACGGCGCTAATGCGAACAGGGAAGACGCATCAGAGGTTGCTGATAAGGAAAAGGAGGAGGGTGAGTTGACGACAGACGAGGACGAGGAGGGTGAAAATGAAGGCGAGGACGCTAAGCATGGAGACCTACCACCGCCGACTAAACGCCTCTGTCGAAGAAATGGTAACAAAGCCTTTCTTTACAAAGAATATATTCAGTATTATGGCTCATCGTTTGAATGCTGTTAATTAGTGCACCTATAGACCTATGGTTTATCGTAAGACCGATCATTTTTCATGTGTGATACAACATTGCTGTTTATATGAACGGACGGCCTGGTTTTTTTCTGTTTGCGTGGAGTTATTAATAGACCTTTATTTTTATTGACAGTTAAAGAAAAGACATCTCCGGTTTTGGAGTCCAATGTGACATCCCAGAATGAGAATACGGCGCAACAAGAAGCGCAACCTGAGGTGGGGTGTCCTTATCTCTAGTGTTTCTATACGTCTTATCAAGATTTTAACACGTTCACAGTCAATGTCACAGATTTGCTAAGTTTTTTTGTCAGTTCATGATAATTGGTACCACTAAACTAGTACAAACAAGTCAGTTAAGCTTGACACTAAATGTGAGATGCTTTTGGTTTAGAAAGTGTTACATTTTCCGTTTATGCCCTTTAAGGTCGCCAAAACGCCTAGAGTTTGGTGGTCATATTTTCTCTAAGTTAGTGTGAAATGGGTCCCGATTTGTTGAATTATATCCACAGGCCCTTTGCCTTTATTCATCTAGTCCAGTGAATACTGCAGTTTTATCCTTTATTGACCCTCCGAAACCTCTTTTAGAAACGAGTCGATAACAACGTGCATAATTCAAAGCTCCTAACCCCTGATGAAGTGCGTGAATATTGCAGCAAGTTATTTAAATTCAAGAGAACCAACGCTTTGACTTTCAGGTTTGTGTTTCCTTTTGGTATTTTTGAATATTGCTATTTGCGCATTCATGGCCCTGGAGCTGACATTAAGCTATTGTGACGCATTTAAGGCCCCATCATGCTTAACACGTTCGCTACCAGTGTCACATGTGACACCTCCGATTACCCTGCCGGAGACCAGCATCGCTGAAATTTGGCGAATGGTCTTTGTCGGTTCGTGATAGACTCACAGCTGGGCCAAGTAGTATCGCAAACAGGTTAGACGAGTCCATACTATTAAGAGATCGACGTAGTCTTCTGGGTTTGGGGCAATTGCAACTAAGTTGGTCGTTTTGGTCGAGCAAGTGTTGAGGAAAGTAATTAAGTTTATGAATGGCTCATGTTAAGGCTTTTATTATTTATATGTTAGTAGTTAGACATCCGTAGCAGGAGGTGTTATTTCATTGCCTATCCTTAAATAGAACATATCTTTTGTGTTCTTTAGATATGATGTTGTCAAGACCCTACTAAATGTTGAGAGCGGAATATCTGTGCTTCCACACAGCAGTAATTCAGATACACAACATTTTCCTCAAAAATTGAATAAAAGAATTAGATGTCGTGTATGCGCCACCATGCAGAGGCGCACAGCTACCATGTACGCCTGCGAGATTTGTAAGACAAATAAAGGACAACCGATTGGACTGTGTGTAGACAAATGTTTTAAAATTTATCATGAAAATAAATAACTATTATTTAAATACTTGAAGGTGTTTTCATTTGGTTTTTCCTCCCACTTAAATGTTTTGCACGTGTGCCCTACCTCTACGAAAACCATCCTCATATATTACTTAGAGCCTCACATGTGTGTTAGGCCTCATAATTGTCTATTTCACGTGTCTGAATTGCTGTAGCTACAAAAAGTAATGACAACTGGTGTCACATTAGAGGGACTAGGTGCCTGGGTAGCGGTGGTCGGGGGCTTGGCAGCGAACGTGTTAGGTACCAGTCATTTGAATGGTGCTTTAACAACCCAAAATTCATGAGTTTGCATGCATTTTTCAGTTTGAGTCGGTCTCATTTGGGTCTTAAATACCTTAGCTAGCGCAGGATCCCGCATATGCTGCAGTGAATTTCATTGGTTGTCACACCGCAAGTGACGTCAACACCCTCGTTGTCAGCGTCACAGATATGTGACTTGTGAACCGAACCGTGTTACAAACAAACTGGTTGAATCTAAAACAGCAGTATGTTGTTGATCTGAGAAAAAAATATACACATCTTAACTTCTGAGCGCTTTAAATGTTAGGAGAATACAGTATCTATGCCTCAATGGCCGATTTTTCCCTCTGGGGCTCCGGTGGCGAACGCATTAATCTCGCGCGTGAACAGCTCATCTTGGACTGCCCCGGTTTTACGTTATGCTCATAAAGAAATCCTTTTTTGCTTTTTCGTCACCGCACTGACTATCAGTCAATCGCCTGATTTAGAAATCGCTGGGAGCGTCTGCGTTTCTACCGTGCGAAGAGAGGCAATCAAAGGATAAACAATGGTGATGGATCTGTAAGTTTTTTACCCTTTAAATCTCTATTTGACCGGATCTCACTTCGTTACATATTCTCTCTAGTTTGAAGACATGGAGAACAACTTCATGGAGCAAAGAGCTAAAGGTAAGCCGGTAGTTTTAGCAATCGCTGGGATGTTTGGTAGTCATTGTAAAGTTATGGTTTTGTGCATCTCTACATAGAACGCATCTTCCGACTGTTCGACAAGTCTCCAATCTGCATACTACACGAGTACTGCCAAAGTGTTCTGCATGTGCAGTCAACTTTCAAACCGCTGGTGGTTGAAAATGACAAACAACTCTTCCACTACGCCATCGTTATCAACAATGTAACTTATCCAACTGGTTCGGGAAACAGCAAGAGGTTGGCTCGCTCTGAAGCTGGTTAGTTTGAGTTTGAACGCTTTCTTAGGTCACTAGTTTCACCCTTCTTTGCTCGTAATTTCTCACTTTCAGACAGCGGCTGATTAGTGCCCTGTTATACTGTTCCCTCTACGCGTGACCCTTGAATCACAGACCACCTCTAATCATCAGGCGATGCAAGGACTGAATTCAAGAACTGCGGACACATAAATTTGTCGATTCCTTGCCTGCCCCTGAATTCAACCCCATGATTGTCATAACCCATACGTAATCACTGTCCCCATGCATGGTAGCCCGTCTGATTCGCAAGGTGGTTTGGTTTCTTAATCGTAAAGGGCACATCTCCAATTTCCTTGAGCTCAATCACCCTATGATAAATGGAGCTAGCTGTTCAGCAGGTTTTAACGATGAGTAGTTGATTCTGCTTTCTTTTTGAAGCCTCTCCTAGAGGTCGCTTTGCGAGATCCAGCTTCAAGTGTATTCTTTTCAAAGTGACTAGTAAATTGACTTGCCTTCTTAGATCTGGAGGTATTGTCTCCATTACTCTGGAATAGGTAAACGTTCAATCATTGCATACTTATTGTTGAGACGTCAATCAATGTGCACTAGGTGTATATTTAGCTATCAAGTGCTTCTAAAGATAGCAAACTGTTTTACCTCTATCTTTTGCAGCTCGCTTGGCTTTATTTGAGATGCTACCGGAGTACAAAGCGTTTTTCGAGGAGAAGATTCAATCAGGATCGCAAATTACGGAGTCAACTGGGTCTATGCTGTCTGAGGCTGATCTTAACCTCTTTCGAGCAGTATCAGTTACGGATAGACAGGTGTACGAAATAGTAACTGCCAGACAGCTAAACTGCGCCGCTCCATACACCATATTCGGGGAGTATGTCAAACGCCACTGCATTCCAGAGAGCGATGTACATTCGAATATGATTATTCATAACAAGAACAATCATATTTATGAAATCAGTGTTGGTGAACATCGTGTACAGGTGAGTTGTTATTTGTACTCCTCCTCATTCATACAAGCTGGACTAGCTATTTGGGTAGGAATTTCAACAAGTTGAAAGCAAATTTATTGACTAAAAAACGGTATGGAAACAGGTGTCTGCGATTTTACTTCGGAGGCTATTCGTCCTCATAAAGGGGGCTGCAGGGTCGGTGACCGCGGGATTTTTGTCCCATGATCTGCTCTGATTTAGCAACTACCACCACGGTAGAGGTCGTCACTTTTTCACGATTCAAATGTCTCACCACTATTGAGCCACCGAGCATCCCATCACTGCATTGTGCTTGAAGTCTCCCGTACACGCGTTCTACGGACTAGTTCACTAAAAAAAACCTGTCACGACACTGCTTTTTTTACCCGCATGTACTACCACTGTTGGCTCCGTCCGAATTGACGGTCCGTCGCTTATATGACACATTTGTGTCCGCTGAGTGTTGTCCCTGTTAAAGCAAGACCCAATATGACTTGAAAGCCTGATTTTAGTAGATCCTTTCTGCTACCGTAATCGCTTCACACAGTAATCTGGGGGGGTAAAAGTCTGGGTCATTTTAGTGGCCAAAAGTGCGGGAAACCCCCAAGACCTGACGGTGTAAGAGGGAGTACACGGTTTCCTTCGAATTTGAAAATTCCCTTTATTCAAACGGGTCCATATATGCTTAGCGCGCTTTTAGCCATGCGAATAATTTCTTTGGTGAATATTCAGAAATTCAAGCATAATTTTATTTGCTGTAGGTCTCCTGCAAAAATAAGCGCATTGGTCGCAACCACGCAGCTCAGGAGATGCTAGCTAAACTGCATCCACAGATTAAAACTTGGGCCGATCTTCTTGAACTCTATGGACCGAATACCAAGCCAGACAGGAAGTCGGACAACGAAGCTATCCTCGACGCACAGACGAGAAACTCAAACTCGGTCAAAACAGGCGTAATTCGCATATTAAAGGCGAAAATGCTAGAATTGAGCCATCAGTGGGTAAGTTGGTGTTTCTACTAACCCGGATATTCTCTTCTTAGGAGGCGGCTGAAGATGGAAAGCGAAAGGGGAAGTTCAATGTATCGCCTAATCATCTTCCCGTTGTCTATTTCCATCCGGATTCTGCCACCAATGTATATTCCTACCCACCACCTGATCCCTCTTACTCTGGTTCGACCTGAGCTACGCCTTGCTTTCCAAATCTGTATAGTTGGACTGCTTGTAATAAAACGGCTTCAATTTGTGTTGTTTTTTTGGTTTTTAGCTGAAGTGATAAACGTCTGCAACAAATTATTGGTATGAGTGATTTTTGTTACCAATTCTAGTGGTTCTGCTGAAACAAGAAAAATTCGATGTGGATAAACCTTCGTAATACACAATTTACTGTGCCCATGTTGGTGTATCTCTATGGCTAATTTTACCGTGGTCGTAGTCACGCTGCGGTCTGCTTTTTTCCTTACTTAGATGAAGCGATTGATCGAGAGCCAGGCGAACAAAGACTATGGTACTCAATTTCAACTTTAATTAGGGGTGTATCTAAGACATTCATAGGCTGTTTGAAGACAGAGCGGGATCCTAGTCTCTGCATTTCTCCATTGTTTTTGGAGTCTGGTTCCACTCTGGGAATTGTTCATATTTAGGATAACACCTGTAGGATGTGTGAACTGATTATCATTATTACGATTTATTTTCCATTGTAGAAGTTACCACGAAAAATAATTGGGGAAATCTTGTCAATGGCAAATATAAATTTATTATACTGCCGCCGATTTACGTGAGCTCCTGTGGCTCTGCACGTTTTAGCCATCATATTGGTGACATTTCTACTGACAGCTCACGAACCCCTCTGTCGGTTTGTAATAAAGTTCAGGTGTATGTAACTTATAACGACTTCAAGTAAGACTTTGTCATGCCAATATATCTGTGGAGATTTGATAATTTGCTTCACAGTGTGTTCAACTATGCGGCCACCTCACTCTCTGCGGGTTGTACTTCCACTCTGCGACATACACTTCAAGCCATGCTAGTATCCTCATGCCTATTCAGTACGTCGGTGATGTCGGTAATTCTTCCCTGAAGTAGAAGGAAGGCAGAGTTCTGTGGAAGAAGATTTGGTACTGACGTTCAGAAAGTTAGGGGAGACACTGACCTAGCCCGAAGTCTATGCCATGGCGTCACTGAACAATCTGTAGAGACTCCGGTAGCATGGTATCTGACAAAATGTCAAATCGCTATACTACTTCAACTTATTATGACCTAGGTGAAGGTTCGGTGCGCCACATCCGCATTGTTTAAGTTGAAATAGTGCATTAGAAATTTGAAGAATAGGGAATAATATGGTATTTCTAGTAGATAAAATTTGGAATGTAATACTTACGTAGCTAAAATATATGCCTTTTACAGAAGAAGCAGGTAAGTGAATAGTGTGGAGCGAGGCTCCTCGGTCTCCGCTTCCCGATTCCTAGCGTTCCTAGACAAGCCCGGTTGATTCGCTTTGGACATCTTTATTAAAGGTGACAAGATGGA